GCAGATTAAGTATGTGCTGCTTCAGTGGAGTGTATTTAACTGGCTGCACTGAAACAACAGGAATTACATGGCCCAACTGTGAAAAGCTTGTGAGGATTTTCTTTCTGGTTACTCAGTTGTAGGATATCTCTGCATCTGAGCTTTTACAGTGTGTGGAGGAGAAAGCTGAGCTGGTAAATACACAAAAATTCCTTTCTCATTTAATGCTTACCCCCTAAAAGCAACTAAAGAAGGAAATACTTGTAAAAACTTGCCTATACTATTATTGGATGAAGTGATTCTTAGAGCATGTATTTATAAATTTATAAAATGAATTTGTTTATAAAATAAATTTATTTGAAATACCTCTTGAACAAAAGTACTTCAGTGCTACGCTCTGTCACTAAATTCTTTTTCACTTGATTTTTGTCTCCCAATATGTTTGAGTCAACTATAATAGTGTTACTTGTACACACTAGAGAGGAGCTTTGGTGAGACTGGAGCTCTTTTAAAAGTAAGACATAGTAAAAAAAAATTGAAGACAATTTTATTTAGAAGTCCAGTTTTGATGCAGATGAGGTTGACAGTAAAAGACTAATAGTTTCAAGATATTGGAAGATATTTGCACTTCTGATATGGGAGAGAAAGAGGACTTACTCAGATTTAGTAGGCAGAACAGAGCCTGTAAAATAAAGGACAAGAAAATAATCTAAAATCTATTTATACCAAGATGGTAAGAGATGGTGTGCTGCCTAGAAAATATGTCACCCATACACTACAGTGCCTTTCAGCTTTAAAATTAAACATTTGTTAAATATTGGCTAATCATTTTTATTTGATCTTTTGATAGTATTAATGAGATTAAATAGTTATTAAAATATTAATATACTTAAATAGTTGACATATCATTTCAGTAATCTGAATTTGATCTAGACCCTGCTTGAATTGTCTTTGAAAAAAGCTTAGTGGGCTTTGCACTACAAAATGCTTATTTAGTTCTTCAAAGTGCTGTACTTGATAGCTGCAATCAATTACAGCATCTAAAGCTTGTGTTGAAATTCAGGCCTGTGAAGTCAGTGGTGACTCCAGCAGACTGTTTATGTACCTCAGCTACTGATTACAGGAGCCAGTGCTCATATGTTTAAAGCTGAGCCCATGTTCAGTACTTGTGTGTTTCTGCTGTTTTTTAAATAAATTTTCTATAGAGATCAGTTCAACCTGAAGTATTTCCTCCTCTTCCCAATGTATTAAATGGAAGAAATTATGAATAATTGCTTGATGTATTTTTGCAAAGATTTTGTATATTTTTAGGGTATAAAAATATAAAGAGAGTCTCAAATTGGTTCTCATGAGTCTTAAAATGCTCACTGCTCAATCTTTTGTCATTGATGCATGGAAGAAGTATTTTTTGTAGGATTTTCAAAATTATCACCTAATAAAATACTACTTTATAATTTGCTCTGTATTTTTTGTGTAGTGAAATAAAGTGTACCTTTTTATTTCACTATATAGATGACATAGATTTTTCTCATTTAGAACAACTGCAGTATGTTTTTTTGGCTGGACCTGTTTAGTAACACAAGTAGGACAATCTGTTGAGTACAAGTGTAAATTGGCTATTTGTTGCCATGATGGGTTGTCCTGAAAAGGAGTCAGTAACTGACTCTAAGGAAATCCATGAAGATGTTTAGAGGAAAGCCAAAACTCTATAATCCCAAAACATGGCAATGCAAAAGCAATTCACATACTACTAAAATTTCACTGCAATACAAGATGTAAACAACTGCATAGCAAATTTCTTTAATAACACTCTCAGCTATATTGCCAAAATTGAGGTAGTAAAAAGTAAAAGTCTCCACTTAAGTTTATTTTCAAGATTATACTAAAAACTAAACATTCTGCATTGAAATACAGCTTTTCTTGCATTCCACCTCTAGGATTTGCTTCCATGGATATTGCATGAATAAATGGTTAGTAAATCAAATATTAAATGGTTCAGTTCTCATTTGTGAATTGGTTGGAGGTAAGTGAATTTGTCTGCCAGTGTTTACATCACAGAAAACCTTCTCTGTATGAGAAGTGGTGAAATAAATCCTTATGTTGAAGACAAAGATTATTCTACCCCTTGTCCCCTTGCAATTGTAGCAGTGCCTAGCAAAGTGGCATCCTCTGCTGTAGCAGTATAAAAATGTGTGGTCTCAGCGAAACCAAAAGTTTTAATGCTCCAAACCAGCTCTTCACAAGTTGTCATGATATGCTCAGTCCCGCTGCCTTGAAATAAAGAATTGCTCTAATCCAAGGTGGGTTTGTGTCTGAACATCAGAAGAGAGAGAAGTCTGTGTAAAGGTGTCGCTGAGGGTATGTTACACTTCCTAACAGCTAACTCTGCTCAAGGATGTGCTCCCTCCAACACACACGAAATTCTGCTGTTGTTCATTGTGAGGCAACATCATGATACAAGAACAGATGTCTCCAAAGCAACATGGTGTCATTTTTCTGCTAGTGAAAACCTGAGAAGAATTAAGAGGTGGCATAAAATACTAAAAAAGGATGATTTAAATCAGAGCTTCCATTCCTGACATCATGACATAAGAATCTGAATACAGAATTCAGTACAATAAATTATTAATGGTTCCTTAAATAACTCAAAGACACATTACATGTCTGGCATCTTACTTGGGAAAGGTGGAAAAAGGAGAAGCAAAAGAAGCAACAGTATGTATTGGTTTAAGATTCTGGAGCTTTGGGAGAGATTTCCGGAGAATCTTGCCTGAACAGGGAATAAAAGTATTGAGAGACACTGCTAGTGCCAGAAGTGTTAGAGCTAATGGCATCCATTCACTTGTTAAAAATGGATAAAGGGGGGAAAAAAAAAATCCAGTATTTTCACCAGCTGTATTGGCACCAGGCTGGCACTGTCCCATACACCAGCCTCACAGTGCTGCAGGTTCGCACATTGACCCAAAGGGATTTTTTTCCTTTCTCTTAGGAAGCAGGTGGCTATACCACAGAAAATGATAATAGCTGCTGGTGGGAGTACTTGACAGAAACTGAAGAAACACGATCTTCAGGTAGATAATAATTAACAGTGGCACTCAACTTCCCTGGGATATTTGAAATGAAATTCAGTGGAAATATTACCATGGAGTTAAATGTGTTTGTATGTGTAGTTCTTGCGTGAAAGGATGAAAGACTTATTTTGTTTGTAATATTGCATCTTTTTTATGAACAATTAACAGAACTGCCTTTTGAAGCAGGAGACATAAGAACAATGCCCAATTTTAGAGGTCAGAAGGCTTAGGAGTATTCTCAGTCTGCACAAGTTTACAGCACACTTTTTTCTTTAAACTGTGGGGACATAGCAGCCAAAAGTTACTGCACAAAAAGAGCGAAAGGGATTGTTGACTTTATCATACAAATAATACAATAATGGAGACATAGTGAAGTGATAATGCTTTGTTACATGATCTAAAACCACTCCAGTGTATTATGTGCATGTTTCCCTTGTTTATTCATCTGTAAAGCCAAATGGTTAACCTTGGTTTATTTCTCCTCAGCTCTGCTGAGGCTGAACATTGCATCAATGACAAACTGCTGTGTACATGGGTGCAAGCAAACAGGTTATTTAGAGCTGTTATGATTGTTCCAATTTCTGTTTAAAGAAGCCAGTAAAATTTCATAACTGAGCCTGAACGGAAATATTAACTCGACTGAAAACAAAAAAGCTGTTTGGGGAACAAGAGGCATGAGGGAAAGGAAGCATTTAAATAATCCTTGAGATATGGTTAAAGACCCTGACTAATTTGTGAAGAACTCAGACTCTGGTTGCAGCACAATTGGTGTTGTTTTTCTTGTTTGAGACATGCTAGGCCAATGCTCTGTCTTCAGCAAAGAAAATGAAATTCACTATGTGAGATCAAAACCCATGTGAGAGGTTTGGTGATACTGTCTTCATGCTCTCTACTGTACAGATGCTAAATCACGATAATATGCTGCAGTTTCTTTTCTGCTTGTGAGACTAGATTGGAACTGTGCTCAAATTTCTGAATGCTGAATTTTACCTAAAAGTATTTTCTGCAGTGTTTTCTCATGTTATGTTTCTTACAAGGCATATATGTCACCTGGAATATGAAAAAATTGATGCTCACATGAATTAAAGGTAACGTATAGGCTGACAGAAGCATATTTATTACCATGAGGAAAGTGACCACTCATAGCAGATGCAAGTTTAGTGCAATAACTGCCATCTGTTGCATGAAAAAAATTGTAACATATCTAAACTTCATTTTTTCTTTTGTTCATTTGTGATTTTTGTCTTTGGTTAGAGCTTTCTTGTGGGATGGGGACACTACATGTGTTTTTACTCACAACTACAGACAAAGTCTGTTCACCAGATGTGTCTAAACAGCTGCCTTTTCTTGGGGAAAACATGGTGCATCAGCTTGAGCTGTGAAAAAGACCTGACAGCTCAGCATCTCTTCCTGCATGCAGCTGGTGATGGCAATGCTGTCAGTGTATCTGGGCCCATCTGGCAATACTTGGCCTTGCTGCACCTTGAGACCCCATACTCAGGCATATAGATAATATTTAAATAATTTATGCAAATCTACAAATATCTCCTTTGTATTCTCTACCAAATATCACACTTCACATTACTTCAAATTTTGAATTCCCACTGTCCTAAAGAGCTGCTAGAGAAATTTTAGAAGGAAGGAAGTGTTTGTGTAAGCTGTGATTGATTACCAGATGAGAACCATAATGAAGAACTCTTTAATAGTTTTAACACACTCAGAAGAGCTGAAAGAAAGAGGCATTAGGCTTTGTGAGCTATGGATGTAGCTGTTAAAGGTAGTGTTGCTGCTCTGTGGAAAATCCTTGGGTGTGTTGTGGTCGACTAAATGGAGAATGTGCTGACTCATACGTGAGAAAGCAGGAAAAAAGTGCAGGAAAAAAGCACAGGAAAAAGCACTGATTCTACCTGCACTTCTGCCAGCACAGACAGATTAAAATGCCCAACATACCGTAGGCCATAAAGGACTGTCCCATCTGGATGGAGTCGAATCATTCGGTTTTTCACTGTCACCCCATGGACAAATGATTTCTTGTCATTTTGGAAATACGTGTCCGGCACCCAGAGCTGGTCAGCCACTCTGTTGTCCAGAGTTAAGTTCAAAGGTATTCCAGAATAAGAGAGCCTTTTATCCCTCCAGGACTGCTGAAAGTACATGGTCAGGGTGTAGTCCTAGGGAAGAAACAAGAAGGGCTTTTTGTATTTTCACACTGATTGACTGACCAGAAGTTTATTTTTGGATGAATCTCAGTAACTGAATATCAGTAGCAATAGGAAATTTAAGGATCATCAAGGCATTGTTGTCATTAGGCTTGTTCATATTAGTGTCAAATTTGACACCAGTGGCAGTGACTACACCAGGCTTTCATAATCTCTTGACCCAGAGGGAATAGACGGCACATTTGGGTCTCCAGTCTGTGGATCAAACTTGGTTTCTAATTTTCTTTTTTTTTCTACTGTGAAAAGAGCAGTGTTTAGCTGAGCTCAGCCAAATAGCATTGCATAGCACTTAGGATATTTTTCTGATATTCCCTCCTTCTGATATTCCCTCCCTTCACCCTGAAAGATTCCCCCCACCATCCAGAAAGGCCTAGCCTTCCTCAGAAAGAGCAAACACAACCTCAGAACATAATGGGTAACTTTCCATTCTGCCTCTGCTGGAGTTGCCATATGTAATGACTCTAGATAGCCAGGCATATCTCATCTCAGCCTGGGAAATGTGCTGCTTTCTGTCCTTGCCAATTGAATTTTACTGTACAGAAAATCAACAACTTGGCTATCATGTTATAACTCCAGTGAAATACCATTTGTGCAGCCTTTCAGCTTTCATTTTGTCTGAAAAGAAATTGTTCTAAAGGCTTGCAGTCTGATTCACTCTCTTGTATATGTCTTTCTGGGAAATTGATGATTTTAAAGGTAGTCAATTTTTTCAAGTGGAAAAACCCATGTACTTTGTAGCTCATGGAGTTCTTAAAAGATGAGTAGAACAGCAGTATGTTTTCTCTTCCTCATCTCCTCTCCCAGCCCTGTTTCCAAGTGACAGGTCACTTTGTCACACGTTTTTATGGTAGAAGTGCATCAAAATCATAGCTATTACTGAAAAAATTGGTCTGGTCAGGAGTAAGATTTTCTTTTATGTGATAGAAAATCTTACTCTGTCATTGTCACAAATCCTAGCCTGGACTCTAATTCTTGAAGAAACAGCATAAAAGCTGTCTGATACAATTTGCGCTCTTCATCTATAGTGGCTTCTTAAAACTGTATCATTGCCATGAAATCAAAGCAGAGTTACCTTACAAAAAGACTTTCTACTTGAAAAGTCACATCCAACAGAGCTATAATACAGACTTGTCAGTGAAAGTTGTTAATAAAAACACTGTTCTTCCTTGCCCTGGGCCAGTACTTTTCTTTGGTTTTTTTTCTTTATGGATGAAATATCATGACTGATGATCAGTGGTTATATACAATAGGATAATTACATCCACTGTCAGCACAGACCCCAGATTTGCAAGGATTTCACAGATATGCCCCTTTTCAGGCCTGCAAATCATTTGCTACCCACAATAGACACAAGAGGCTGTATGCTGAAGGTTTGTTCAGTTTTTTTTGTTGGCCGGGGTCACTAGGAGGAGGTCAGACACCTTTCCTTTTCAGAACGTGCCGGTCAAGCCTCGAACTACAAAGTAATGCAGTGAAATATATGCTGCACTTTGCTGAGTAGGTGGTTTCATTTAAATAGGGGTACAGAGGAGCAGGAACACTAAGGAGGCAAGTTTTTTTGAACAACTTGAATAGAGGTGGGTTAGAAGCATCACTTAAAGTGAAGTTTACCCTTAGCTCCAAAAATGAGTTGGGAATTGGATGAAAGAAAACAAAAATTAAAAACAAACCCAAAAATCAGCCAAACATGAAAGAACAAAATAAAACCCCCATCAAACACCACAAATACCCCGTAAGTCCCCAGCAGTATTCTGGTGCAGTTTTCATACATTTTATCTGTTTCCTAACCTGCCCTATTTCAAATCTCTTTAGGTAGAAAAGCTTTCATAGATGACTGATAAAATTCAAACCCTCAGTGCTGCACCTGCTGTCCTCTACATCTTCTGCCTGATCCAGCAGAGCCTATGTAGCCTGCAGCACAGATGGAACAGAAATTCTGATTATACATAATTATCTTTTCTCCTTCTTGCCTTTCTTTATATTTTCACTAGGCCTTAAGGCTGCTTTTGTGGAGTTGTTATGCTGTTCTGTAGAAAACCAAACAATTGAGAATGGTGTCTATGCAATGGCTCTCAAAGCTCAATCAAGAGAAGAATAGGCACAGTAAGCCACAAGAGATCTTAAAGGATGTGATCAAGTGAAAGATAAAGAAATTCTGTCTCTTGGCTATGACTACTAGAAGAAGTTGAGTTGCTATTTTTAGCATCATAGTCTGTTAAAAATATTTATTTCATCCAGCATTTGTGCTTTACAGAAAATGTTGCTGTTGGCAACACCACAGTAGAAAGGGTGATCCTCTGGTCTGCAATTGTGCTGTACTATGGAGAAGTACATGGCAAGCCAGCAAGTTTTAATGAGGAAAAAAAAATCTGAGCTTCATCCTAAAGGAATCTCAGTGTTTCCTAACTGAGCAAATTATCTATTTTTTCCCCCATTCCTCAGTACATGGGAGTATTACTCATTCAGTATTTAAATAAGAAAAATAGTCTGATGTCACAATTGTGAGAGCCCCAGTTGCAGTAAGTTCATATTTTAAAAAGCATAGTCAAAGACTGTTTTAATGAAAAGCAAATTACAGCTGCACTGTAATAACCCAAATTTTGTAGTTATAAAATTTCGAATTGTTTTTGAATGGAATACAGCCTTACCCTTCTTATCACTCATCAGTGAAGTATTAAATGCTGGCAAGCCATATGGCTAGCTACATCTTGGAGGTCCTTGTATTATTTTTTGTACTGTACAGTGGTGTGAGTGAAGTAAGGATTTAATGACTACTTTTCTTCTATCCTGTAAAATTTGCTGGGGATTTTGTGCTTTCAAGCTCTAGACTATATGAATAATTTCTGAATCTGTCACATCTGTAGTGATAATTGGCTGCAGAATTTTTTTAGCTTCTTATGAAAGCTTCCCAAGATCTCAAGCATAAGTCTAGATATCAAAATAAATCACACTGTATTTAACTTTCATATTTTAAAAATTCTATTCATGAGTTTAAGGAGCAGGGCCCAATGTAAAATTAAAAAAGAGAATCTATTTCTGCAGCTAACTGTTCTTTCAAATTATTTGTTTTTAAAAACAATTAATGTTTTTCAGAAACACACTAAACAGGTTTTTTTTTTTCTGAACTGTTCCTTTCCTAATTAAAAAAAATCTGTAATTCTGCTGAAAAGTCATGATATTTCAGTAGATTTAATAGTGCTGTTTATATATCTGATCTAGTTTCCATTTTTTCCGTGACAAATTTCGATTTACTAGTAGATCTTTTTTCTTAGTAATTGTGCAAATTTCTTATTTCTTTGTTTCAAACCAGAAATTTGTAAATGTGTGTATGTAGATGTGTATTATAACTTATAAGTAAATCTGTATCAGTGCTTTAATAAGGTGCATTAGGTTGCTAAGACAAATACCTACATGCTAGTCCTAGGTAAGAGAAGTTCTGTGAAAATGTGAGTAAGACAAACTAGTCTATTTTACTCAAAATTGAAAGCTATTTCATCATATGAATTTACAAAGCCTCATAGATAAATACTGGCACCAAGCCTCACAGTACAAATTTCTCAGTAAGGAAAATGAATGGACCATTGAAGCATATTGTATTTGAGGTCAGATGAACAATTTAGAGTTCCAGTAAGGAACAGACTGAAGAGTTACCGTACAATAATAATTCCTTTTTGTAATTCTCTTTTTTTCCCTATTCTTTTTTTTTTTTTTTTTTTGGTGGAATAAGAATAGATAATGTAAGGGCAAGAACAGATTTTTTCCTTTCCTGTTAAACCTCTGTAGATCTCTGAAATCAGAAGAGATACATTAAAATAACTGAAGAATTTGGACTTGCTGGTAATTTCTATTCTGTGATTTACCAGTTCAGTACAGCAGAATATAATGTGGAATGCATTGCTATATTATAATCTAACCTTCTGAGAGACACAGAACTAGAACTTCACCATGTTTATCAGCTGAATTATGGATTCTGGTGGAATAAAAGATGAGTTCACATTTCTGCTGTACTGCTAGTTGTTTTTTCTTGTACTAAGTCCATACTTTAAAGAGAAAACAGGGAATCTTTTAATGTGCAATGTTCAGCTTGGTGGTCTAAAAGACCTTTTGTTTTTCCCTTTTCCAAGGTGGCCTTAATCTAAGCTCTGTTATCATTTCATGAACTGAACAGCAGGTTAGCATATTGTGATATATTTAAGTAATAACTGAATATCAAAGCACACTCTGAAAGTCTTAACAGCAAAAAATTGTAATGTGGATGCAGTTATTAGCAAAAGTTAGCAAATCAAATAATATTTTGTGAATATTTAGCTGTTCTAGATCAATATCAGACATTAGCTCTTTACATGAGTTTGCACATGAAGGCACTGTGCAGCAAAATGAATACATGAAGTGCACCAATGTCATACTTCTAATAGACAGCAGTGTATACTGGTAGTTGTGGGATGAACACTGTACACCCAAACAATCTTACATTTAAATTTTACCCTTGGGAACCACCCACTAATACAATATCTGGCAGCCTCACAGAAAATGAGATGCAATGAAATTCAGATACATTATAACAATCAAGACAAACATAATTGAAATTGCAATTTAAAATTAAATATGGAGTGATAATATTGACTGCAATAATGCCATAAATGCAGAAAAGCAATATATGTAAATCCTGCTGTGACTGCAAAATCTTATTAATTGGGAAAGAGTATTTTATGTGTTTATCTGATACAAGAATAGGAAGGGCAGAGTTTTGAAAGAATGGTTACTATATAAATTTGCAAATTTCAAGAAATTGTACTCATTCCTATGTTGCAAGAATGCTAATGTATCAGAAGCAGCTGTTGTTCAGTAAGTTAATTGTCCTACCTTGGAACTCCAAGAGAAGGAAGCTCTATATCCTCACCTGCAAAAGGGCTATTTTATGGTAAGAGGACACAAATGGTGATGTGGGATTT